TTTTTTTTTTTTTTTTTTTTTTTTTTTTTTTTTTTTTCTTTTTTTTTCGGCGTTCGGACTCGGATAGATTGCTCGGGGAGGATGTCCGACCGAACAACCCCGGACGGTCAGGGGGCTCCCGGATGTTCGATTAGGCACAAACTCTATAATATCAATAAGAAACATCGCGCGCGCCTCAAAACTGTGCGCCCACGCACTCCCTCCTTTCAGTCAAACATTTAGTCAGCGCAAAAAAAAATACAGCCGCGACTCTCGCGGTGCACTCAAACTTCAGGTCAAAACTTTTTTTTTGTCACTTAAAAAAACAGGGTCGGTACCCTGTAAGGGTATTCACACTGACAACGGTGTGAAGAGGTATCTGAGCCCAAAGATAAGTGAACCTGTGATAATCTATGTGGCTTCACGTACCCTTCGGGTTAACCCCAAAGTAAGCACCGAAGCACGGACCTTGGGGGGCAAAGGGACAAATGGGGGTCGGGCTCAAAATTTTTGTGTGTGATTGCGTGCATCTTTCGGAAATGTCCTTGTCTGTTTTGCAATTCCGGTCTCGCCGGGCTGATTAGCGTCCATGCAGAAATTCTTAAAGAAACGGTTACAGTTTCGGTTGTCGCTGCATTTTATTTTTTTTGCTAAGAATGCAAGCGTGCAGCCACTTTCAAATTTTTGCATGCCTATGCAAGCTGGCTTCCCACTTTCACACGCACGCCAAGTTCTCTTCTTGCTCAAACTTTGTCTATGCACATCACTTCGTCTTCCTCCCTTCCATTTTGGCACAGGCGATTGGTCGCCAGTCGAGCTGGTCGGGTCAAGCCATGAGAGCGAACTTATGCGCAAGGCTTGAACGACCACCTCGATGTGCATAATTTTTTATCGCCCCGCCTTCGTCAATCTTTTATAACGTTCTTTCTTCTCTGCTCCTCATCTACCGCCTATACTCCCCCACATTACACGCTGGTGCCCCACCACCTTCCACACTGTAAATTTGCACGCCCCCCTCCTTTTCTCCTCTTTGATCTCATCTACAATGTTGTGCTAGCTATGCGTGAAGGCTGCGGAGGTTGAACATGGTGGCCGCGCACATGGGGTGCGGACACTGATGTTGTTTTAAAGAAAAATTGCAAGGGACTTTTGCTTTTCTCCATCGCTGCTCGTCCGAGTGTGCATGCGTGCTTAAGACTAAGTGCTTGTACTAACTCGTGTGCATGCCTTGCGAGCGTGTGAAGCTTCCACCTTGCCCCTTTCATTACACCCTTCCCATTGCCGAGAGATGTGGGCGAGTGACTTGCGTAATCACTCAATGTATGGATGATGCAGAAGGTATGTGTCGTTGCAACATAGTGGTAATTTTGTCCACGTCGTCGTCTCTGCTCTCGTTCTTGCAATTTGGGTTGGTGTATTGGGCAAAGGAGTCAGAAGTAGAGCTCTGGTTGTATGGAGTTGGGGTTTGCTAACTTGAGTATAAGCACGAGTAACTGCCCGTGTTCGAACCTCACGTCTATCTGCCATAGCAGCCTCCCTGAGTTCCTGGTCGCAGACGAAGACCGAATCAACTGTGATGTGGATGTTAGGAGGTTTTTGCCTACCAACCGAGTTCACTTCTATAATCCGTCGAAGGCCTGTCACATCAGCAGGGAGAGTTTTGTTTTGATTGATTGTTTCTATGCTCCACAACTGATCCTACCTTATACTGACCTCACAGTGCTTCCCTGGTTGGCTACACACGCCACGTGGAACCCTCACTCGAGTCAGTTCCAACTGCATGTGGTCCAAGCTCGCAAACTCATGTTCCTAGCAACAGTTGGTACTGGGGTACCGAGGATCAATTAGGTTCCCGGATCTCACATAAGTGGTTTCACTCCATTAAATCTCGCCCAGCTAAGGTAGCATCTTTGCAGTGGCAAATTGCCCACCATTGCCTCCCCACCATACTTGCAAGCGGCGGCCGTCCGGGCGGTTCCGCACGTACGGTAGACCGCCGGACCGGACCCATGCGGCGCACGAATGTGCGCCCGACGACCAGTTACGCCCCCCCCCCCCCCCCCCAAAAAAAAAAAAAAAAACGGCCCCGTCCGGTCTGGGGGGAGGGGCTGCACGCGACAAAGCGGACTGGACCGGACGTGCAAGTATGCCCCCCACAAATGATTGGATTATTGATAGAACCTCGCTAAAACAAAGAGGAATAGATCATCCTTGGTGTAAGTTCTGTAAATCAGCCTTCCCATCTAAGCTAATACTGAAAACATTAGAGCACATTTTTCTCCAATGCCCAGGATCAGTTTGGCTATGGCGTTGGTGGGACAGAATTTGGAATCAATTGGGAACGTCCCTTCCCTGGCCCTGGGATTGGAAGCCACTGCTCTTGGAAACCTGGAATCCCGATCAGGGAGATGACTTCTGCAGGAAACCAACATATGTCTGTGTAGGATCCTCAAAGACTTTACGTGGAGCTACTACTAATTAATAATATAAAAGAAAGACCAATGACTTATGAGTATACGTACGATAGATACCTTTGTTTGTATGTAGTGTCGTATTATTATAGTGAACCCTTTGGAAGGAGAGCAGTCATTTGGGCAATATGGACACGTAGGTGTACCTATGAAATGGAAGGTGCACGCTTGGATGGGCCAAAATTTACTGAAACTATTAAGCAACATATTCAAACAGAGATTACTACCAAATGGGAAATTCTAAAGGAAAAATACAGTATCTGACAATGAAAAAAGAACTCTTGCAACAAATTAAAGTATTCAATCGAAGCTGGCTTGGGGGGGACCAGGGAGGGAGGTTAGGGTGGGTGAAATGGGAGGGAGCACAAGAAAATGATCAGGATGCGTTTCAAAGGAAGTACCACCTGGTCTTCAATGACTGGATTGAAGTTGACCCTGATATTCCATTAAGGCCTCTCACGGACTTCCCTCATCCTTTTCCTCCATCAAATCTATGTTTGGTTCCCGGATCGTGGTATGGGTATGAATGAGTGTTTAGATCTGGTATGAATGTTCTGTATATGCTTATAATACAATGGGGTATGGTCAAGTGCTAGGAAGACATGTATTTCTGGCGCCCTGGTTAGGGTGAAGAGGCACAAGTATCAACAAGATCATCTGTTCTCATGGTTATGCTCTAGGTTTCAAAAAAAAAAAGATGTATTTATGGGACGCTGGACCTGGTTTCCAGCAGATGACGCTCCCCACCAATAGATGGAGCACAATGTAATTAAAAAAAAAAAAAAAAAAGAAACTGGGACTGGAGTGAGAACTCCAGTTTCGCCCTGGCTGTTCAACTCCCCTGCCCAAAATCCTCGGCCACATCAAGACCCTCTGGTGCTGTCGTCCTCATATACTATTGACCTACCTCTCTCTCTCTCTCTCTCTCTCTCTCTCTCTCTCTCTCTCTCTCTCTCTCTCTCTCTCNCACACACACACACACACACACACTCTCTCTCTCTCTCTCTCTCTCTCTCTCTCTCTCTCTCTCTCTCTCTCTCTCTCTCTCTCTCTCTCTCTCCAACCACACATACATACACATCTATTTGCAGCAACTCCTCAGATTTTGCCGAGTAGTGCAAAGCATTGAATGCAGGAAGCACAAAGCAAACCATAACCATGGCCGAAGCAAAAGGCACTGTCAAACAAATTCCAGGGTGCAGATCGCTAAGAAACCAAATACAATTGTTTAACAAAATCCCACCCCTTACTTATATCAGATTCTTACCTTTATGTGAAGCACGCTTCCTGCAAGACATGTTCCGACTCTGCCAAAGTGCGCCTGGCTTGGCATACATGACGAATGAAACTAGGCATTGCCATGACTGCCAGTTATTTCCATAGATTAAAGACGTTTCTCATAAAAGTTCAAGCAACTACGAAACCACTGCTGATGACAGTGTGACCATTCCCGCTATACCAAGTGACCAGGTTCACCGAATGGTTGCCACATCAAGTTGCCATAGCCACTCACTTTTCTTTGGCTTGGTAAAGGGAAAGTTGGGAAACACATTATTTGGGACCACCTCCTTTTTTTTTTTTTTTTTTTTTGGACAAACTTCTGCAGAGGGCTACACTTGGGAGAGTGATAAGAGCATCTCCCTGACCACCTCCTAACTTCTATGTAAGGCATTGAAAGCTTTCTTTTTGTTTTCTTTTTTTGACAGCTGCTGCTGCCTTGATGAGGCCTTGTCGAAGAGGAATTTCGAAAGAAAGGACGACATTCACTCGGTTTTACCAACAGAGTTGATAGTCAATGCTTTACATTTTCTGCAATTTAAAACTATAATAATGTAAATGCAATGATTTTTTTCAATTCATTGTCCTCTAGTCTAGTCTATTGGTGGTTAGATCATAAAGTACAAACATAGTTAGTGCAGGACTACGATGAAACATGGAGGCTACTCTGGGGTCCCTGTGGACATTGACAAACTTCAAGAAGTTTATCTAGCTCTAGGGTTTGTAACTTCTGATCCAACAACGCCTGTAACCTCTATTCAATTCTTACCATTGAACAGGAACCGTCAGATTTTCCCTTGCAAGAGAAACAAAAACAAGCCCTATCTTTCGCTCTGCGTCGGGGCTTTGGCCGTCAATTGCCGAGAGTTTGGTGAGGGCTACACCTCCATCCCAGGTCCTTTCCCACCATCTTGAAGAACAAGCGGTTATGGAGTTCCAGCTCTTTGCAGATCTCTCTCTGCATCCTTTCTGACAATTCAGGCACCGGTCCTTGGCCGACTTTGAAAGCTCCTTCCTTCTCTATCATCTCTATGGCAGTCCGGTTGAACCTGGAGAGGCCTAGGAAATCCGTCACCTTGTCAAGCATAGGCTTGGCATGATCCTTCCACGCATCTAAATTGACAACCATGACTCTCTCCCATCCAATGGTTCGAATCCACAGGTCCAAGAAGTGTGCGTACAGACCAGGTAGAAGGAGCCCGTCTCGTCCAACCAACCCGCCGACAGGTTTTCGGTGTCCCCCCTCCCTCCCTTGCAACGAGCGTTCAACTGACCTCGTCGGACCAATCCGTTTCATCCCGTCCAGTGCCGTCAGCTCCCGGGAGGGCCGGGACACTTTCCCCTCTGAGTCCGGCATTGGCAGTGGTTCTCCCATGGCCGATCGCTGATTAATGTGGCCGTCAACAAACCCTTGCTTGAGGGGATATCGCCGGTGCATGCAGCGAAGGAACTTTGAGAATCTGGGGTCGTTATACTCTGCATCTCCTTCTTCTTTCTCTTCTCCATCTTCCCCTAGCTCTGCTATCTCTTCTTCTTTCTCTTGTTTCAAGTGAACTTGAAGAAGCTTTCTTCTCCTCGCATCTGTATCCCTTGAAAGTCTGGAAGGTCGTGGTTGCCCATCTGTGGAACCATCACCCTCAGGTCCGGATGCTCCGAAGGATCCTCCCCCTGGTCCATCTGGATGACCAGTATCGGATCCAGGTCCATCCACAGCTCTTGAATCATCATATCCTGGTCCATCTGAAGACTCCGAACCATCATCGAGCTCAGATTGAGGTCCATCAAACCCCGCTTGTGTCCCTCTTTCCAACCAATCACCATCAACTTGAGACGTTTGATCTTTTGGCTCAGGACGGCCACGAGTTTGAGTGTGGACCGACCACCTGCTCCTCCTACCACTAGAAGGTTGAGCATCAGGAGACGTTATCGGATGACGATCAACATGGGTGACGTCAGCAGCAGCAGCAGGTGCAAGAGGAGAAGGAGGAGGAGGAGAGGAGGAAAGCTCTTCCTTTTCCTCCGCTTCCCCTTCTGCGTCTTCATCATCGTCGATCAAGAAGCCCGTGTCAGATTGAACACGTGGCAGGCCAGCGAGATTCCTGCACATTCGCATCAGAGCCAGCTCAGCAGCCAGTGCTGCTTCCAGGCTGATGAACTCAGTCTTGTTGCTTTCTTGGAGCAAATCTCGTCCTCCTCCGCTTCTCTCCCATTCCAGCTCGCCGGCCTCGCTTGCTCCCAGTGATCCACTCGTGCTGACCCCGTTCTCCTCTTCACCAGCTTGGAGCAAGAAAGGCCATTTCTCTGGCCTTTGAGTCAGATGACGATACCAAGAAATCGCTTTGGAGAGAGGTTCTCGCACACACAAGATCAGCAAACTGCAAGGCAGCAGCTCCTCCACCAGCTTCAGGGCTGAAGGCTCCATATAGTACCTTGACGACATGGTTCAGTGAACAAAGTCAATGACATTAAAAAAAAAGGCTCTTATTGTCGAAGATTTGACAGGTGATTAAACTGGTTGGGAAAAAAAAAAAAAAACTGACATCTATCGACTTGACGTCCTACACTTTTTGCTTTTTTTAATTGATTTTTTGTTAATTCTTTCTCCTCCATATCCAGGGAACGCCCCATTTGTCCACGGCTTGATGTCATGTGCGCATGTCGGGAATAACGCAGACATGCAGTGTTGGCGTTGAGGTGGGTGATGGAGGAGGAGGAGATGGATGAAGGGCAGGAAAATTAGACAGCACAGAACCTGTGGACAAGAGAGAGAGCATGAATGGGATCAAGACTGGGTGATGGGGATGAATGAATAAAGCAAGGTGCAATCTGCACCTAGTACACCAAGTCCAGGTTAGGGGACCACACTGGATGTCGGACCTACTGGTCTTGGAACTAAGGAACAAAGGCGGCCTGGAAGTGGTGTGGAAGTGGATCCGAAAAGGATGGGAAAAAAGCCGATCCAAGGGGTGAAAAAACCGTTGAGTACCATTTCTGCGACGTTCTCGCATGGGAAGATTTCCGCAAAGTCTCGTTTTTTTTTTTTGAAAGGGGGTCCGCATGCTGGAAGACCGCTTCGGTTCAAAGCCGACCAAAGAGACCTCTTACTGAAAAGCGTCTTCCTCCTCATCTGCAAAGCGCAACAACGTGGTGTCGGAGATACAGCCCTTGAAGGAAGTTACCACTCAGCTTGCTAACATCGCCACCCAACAGTCGGAGATAATACAGGGATGGGCGAAGCAGAGAGCTACTATGGCCGCTCAGAGACAACAACAGGTGGCTGTGGCGCAAGGGCTGGTACAGCTCCCTGGCTGGCCCGTGCTGCAACTCAAGCTAATCCACTACGATGCTACAACTGCAATCAGCCGAGCCACTTGGTCAAAGATTGTCCTTTGCCCACAAACCAGCAACAGGGTAACAACGAAGGTTCCCAGGTTCTGCTTGGGGCACCTGCAACAATTAACCAAGGTAGTGTAGCCACTGTGTCAGACACGGGAGTTAGGGATGTCATGCCCCTTCGAGATTGGGCCCGAAGAGTACATGACCGTTGGTATGCTCGAACCCAGAACTATAGGGGTCGTGCACCACATCCAGCGTATAAGGGAGGAAAGTGACTTTGTGCCCTGGAGACCAGGGTTCGAGGACCCAACGCTTCCTGGGCCTGAGTACAAGGACGGTCTGTGACGCCCAACCTCACGCCCAGCGCGACTTCCTGATCGGAGTGGGATGTGGGCTTGGAAGTGCGAAAAGGGGTGTGCCAAGGATTTTTGGGGAAAGTGGGGGAGTCTTAAGGGTATGAATGCAATTAGGCGGGTGTGCGCAAGGGACTCACGGTCCGATGGGGGCCGGGGCACTGTGGGCGATGACGGGTTACGGGAAAATTCCTCCGTGGTGGAGACGGTCCCGAAAAGTTAGGCCGTCGGGGGCCGCCACGTGGCGCAGGCCGCCGCGTGCCTGGGTTGGGCCTTCGGGATTCCGGGGCTCTTTGTGCGCCGCTGCGTCGACAGTTTACACAAACCGTGTTGGGCCAATTGGGGGCTATGGCCGGCCATGGAACGACACTGAGCTGATGATATGGGAGAAGGAGGCGGAAAGGAGGGAAACTGGTGGTGATCTCAACGAATCCCGGATGGGTGAAGTAGTAGATGTGGTCGGGGGAAGGGAAATCGGAGCACCGAGGGTCGCTAGTGGTGGCACAGTGGAATTCCCGCGGACATAGCCGATTCTCCGTGTGACAAGGGTATCGAGTCCTTATGAGCTCGTTTATTATAGGGGTGAAATAGTCCGGGTCATAGGACGAGTCTGAGCCCCAAGATCGCATCATGGTATCATTGCCGATGGGATAGTGAGCGAGTCGACGCGCGGGAATGCGTGCAAGGGCGCGACTCGGATCGCGTTTACACATGTTCTCGTGCGGCGCTCGCGGGACCGGACTTCGCGCCTAATTGCTTCGTAAGTCTCGGTTATGCAAGATGCAATCATACCACATCCTTATCAGGGGACAAGCAAAAACGAAATCTACATCGGGGCCAGATTCTTATCCCATCTATCGCTGCACCCGGTGCAAGCAAAGATTCGGCACAAACAAAAAGCAAGGGCAGGGATTTTCCGCAAAAAAGATAGGCAAGCAAGCATAATATTCATGCATCCATACATTCGACAATCATACACATAATGCAAGCAAAAGCGGACATCGCGAAGACAAATGTGAGCAAAAATCCAAGCCCAGATATCAGAAAGCCGAAACGAAAATAAGAACGGGCAAACCGCCCGGAGCCGTAATCAAAATGTATGTACACAGGTGAAGAGGGGGAAGAGACAAAGAAACCGTAAATCCACGTCCATCATCCTTAACTCTCTCTTCCTCTCTCTCTCTCTCTTCGATGCGGACAGTCCGTCGTCACACACCAACCCACGAAGTTGTCACCCCGCTTAGTCCTCCAGCACCCGTCGGATTCGCCCGTGCCCACAGTCTGTCGTGGCCCACGTCAATCCCGCGCGTTCGGCACCAGCCCGTCGGGTCGCCCAACTCCTACTCTACTCACCTCTTACTTTGCTCGTGTGCCGACCCTTCCTGATCGCGCAACCCCGAGCTTCCAACAACGGGTTAAGAGAGCTGACTAATCGCGCATCCGATATTTATAGCGTGCATGCATGCGCGAAGAACACGGAATTACCAGGACTTAGAGTGAAGATTAGAGAGGGAGCGCCTGCATTCTGCATGATCGGCCGCGGCGTGGGGGACGTAACCCTTCTCCACGCATCGATCCGAGCACGCAAGCAGCGGCTTACAAAATTTCAGCAAAAGAAAGAGAGGGAGGGCGGGAGAGACGAAGTGCAAGAAGAGAGATACAGTTACAATGGCGCCCGCCCAAAATTACAGTTACACATACGATTAAGGGCGCCCACTAATCATAGTACCGTTACAGCCGCATGAAGAAGCGCGTAAACAAAAGGCGCCGCGTGGCAGGAAAAATCCTAATTACTGAATTCCTAAATTCCTATCTAATGCGAAAAAGCAAAAAGCACGAATTCCAGAAGGAAAGTCCGAAATTCCGAGAGCCATTGGGGGCTCGACAAAATTCAAAAAAGATTCAAGAGGAAATTTAAAAAGAAAGAAGCAATTTCCCGAGCGATGTCTGCGCCCAAAAAGATCGAAATCGAATCGAAAGAAATGACGTCGACATTTATTAATCGCGCACGTGGCGCCGCACCAAACATCCATCTGACCAATCACTCAACCGACCGTCCCATGACACACCCAGCCCCGAAGAAGCGACGAAAAAGACGAAGAAGCAAGGGTACTGATGCAATTTTCCACCAATCCCGATTTCCCGTAATTGACCCAATCTTCCCAGCTTAGGACCCCTCGTTGCAACCGCGGAGAAACTCGCGCGTTACAGAAGGTGGTTCGTCACAGGTCAGATCAATGTCCTAGATATTATTAAGGCCCTAGACCTTAAGATCCCCGCCCCCATTCCCTATTTACTAACGATCTCCGAGACGGCGAATGAAAGCCTGATCGAGCGTTCCTTAAAAAAATGGCAATAGTTCGAGGAAAACCGCAAAGGCAAAAAAACGATGGTAGAAAATTGCCCGCCGGTGCTAGAAGGGCAACCCACCAGTTCACGTCCTCTCGAAGCAACGCGCATTGGGATGATTCAGGCCACTAATCTTCCGACGGAGAAACCAGATGTGTTTTTACGGGCATATCCAATAAGCTGGAAAAATGTTGAATGTGACTGTGGAGTGTAGGGGATCCCGTCGCCTGCAATCCTTGGCTCTGGATCGTCGGCAGTGGCACAAACGATTGGGTCGGGAGAGCCAGATTCAGCCTCTCCGACCAGTTGAGCAATATGTGTCTCTTATCGACGGCAACATTCATTGCAAGGGACGGGTCGAGAACGTGCCCATATGGGTCTGTCGGGTTCACTGCCCGTGCAATGAGATCATCCTCGATGTGCAACAAAATGATGTGCTGCTTGTTATCCCGTGGCAGGTGGCGGTTGGCGCGCGGATGCACTTTGATAGTTCAAAAATCGTGCTAACCTCGGCCCAGCCCAAACCGCATACGATTCCGATGCGGCTGGCCATGCGGGTGCGGATGCCACCTGTCCCTTCCATTTTGAGCGAAGTCCATCGGATCACAATGACACTTGTTGAGGATAAAACACGCCGATCTTAAATTTTTTTGTTGGCCTAGCAAATAAGACAGAAACTCCTTGATCTGTTTTAACATACTTCAAATACAACCATTTATTTGATAAATTCGTATCATCAGTTTTTTCTTCTGGTGGCATTAAAATTTGATCTCTTTGCAATGCAATTTGTTTGTCCTTGATAAAATAGAGTGAGCCAGGTTGTATACTTATTTCATAATGATT